TTTTTTTAAGTTTATTTTGAGAGAGAGTGTGGGCATGAAAGTGGGGGGAGGGGCAGAGAGAGGGAGACAGAGGCTCCCAAGCAGGCTGCTCACTGACAGCACAGAGTCCGATGTGGGGCTTGAATTCACGAACCATGAGATGATCATGACCTGAGCCGAAGTCGGATGCTGAACTGACTGAGCCACTCAGGTTCCCTTCTTCATTATTTTTATTGAAGTGTAATTAACAGAGTGCAATATTAGTTTCAGGTATATAGTATCCAACAACTCCATTTCTCAGTGCTCATTAAGATAATCGTACTCCTACTCCCCTTATTCTGTTTACCCATTTAACCTTTGGCAACCACCAGCTCTTTGTATTTGAGAGTCTGTTTCTGTCTCTTTGTCTTTTATTTCTTAAGTTCCACGTGCAAATTGGTGCAGCCACTGTGGAGAACCACATGGGGGATCCTCTAAAAATGAAAAATAGAAACACCGTGTGCTCTGGTAATTTCACTCCTGGGTGTTTACCTAGGGAAGATAAAAACACTCACCGGAAAAGATCTTTGCACCCGCCCCCGCATGTTGATTTCAGTGTTTCTTAAAACAGCCAAGCTACAGAAGTTGCCCCAAACTTAAGTTGTTACTTTTTATCCTGTTCATTGCTTCCTGTTTGCAAGCTGGCTGCTGCTGTTGAGACTACCAGACCCCTTTTCAAGCTGGAAGCCAGGGAGAAAGCGTAGCCCCTGCTGTTTCTTCCTGGGAAAATAAAAGCCCTCACACCAGCCCCTCTAGTAGACGTCCTTTTATAACTTGGTGACCAGAACTGAGCCACATGGTCCCCTCCAGATACACGGAAAACTGTCAGGCACTGTGCTAGGCTGGACATTCAGAGAGGATAGGCTTCTCTCTGCTCCTACAGATCTCCCCCTCAAGCAGGGGAGGTTGTTAAAGTTGAGGTCCTCCAGCTGCCCCAAGGTGGAGAATTGGCTTCATCTTGTCGAGTCCAGAAGGCTTCCTCCGGGACGGGGTGTATAAGCCAAGTTTTAAAGGTGAGATAGAAGTGAAAGGCATTCAATTCAAGTCACTATTTTCAGCGTCCAGTTGCTTTCTTCCTCCAATCTGGCTGGTTCTGCCCATCCTACTCTGAGCTCTGGAGTCTCCATTCCCTGTCCCGGGGGCAGCTTGACCTGTAACTCCCATCTCTTTCCTGTGTTCTGCCTGACGTTCGAGACGAGCCCTTCAGCCGAGTCATTGGTGCACTGAGAGAGCAGCTGCCTGGCACGCAGCCACGGAAAACCCTGCAACTCAGGGACACTGTGGTGCACTAGGTGTCAGGAGTGTCCAAAGATTCGGTCTCTTGTGTTCTGAATGTCTCTTGTCCCTCTGCCTTTTGGGGCCTTCCTCGCCTTAACTGTAAGGCTTGGGAGCGTTATTCTGCTTCCCTTCCCCGCTGTCCGTGACTGAGGAGGCAGCTTGTGGGGTGACGCTTAGCCAGACATTAGCATCCCATCTTTATTTATTTATTTCTTTTTTAAATTTTTTTTAACATTTATTTATTTTTGAGACAGAGACAGAGCATGAATGGGGGAGGGTCAGAGAAAGGGAGACACAGAATCTGGAACAGGCTCCAGGCTCTGAGCTGTCAGCACAGAGCCCGACGCGGGGCTGGAACTCACTGACCGTGAGATCCTGACCCGAGCCGAAGTCAGCCGCTTAACCAACTGAGCCACCCAGGCGCCCCAGCACCCCATCTTTAATCCACAGAGTGCCTCCTGTCCTCTCTCCTGTCAGATCACCTCTAACTTTGGAGGTGGATTGTAGGTGCCATCATGCCCACTTCAGAGTCGGGAAACTGAGACTCCAGATAGGTGACACGCCCGTGGTGGCACAGGAAATCTGTAGTAGAGCCGGGACCAGAGCTGGGCCCATCCTGTCGACATGGAGCTCGCATGTTGGGTAGCAGATCCCCAAGTGTCCAAACACAGAGCAGGACGGCAGAGGGCTGCAGACTCAGTCTGGTGTGACGTTGGCCTGTGTCCTCTCAGGAGTTGTGCGCTTCTAATTAATTGCAGATTATGTGTGTGGATCTGTCCAAGAATTGGCCGTGCACAGCCTGAGGGCGGAAGGAAGCTGTGCGGCTGCTGTCTTAATTATGGGTATTTCACATGCAGTTCTTCCCTGCCATCAGTTAACCGCACCACTGCGCTGAGTGTGAGGCCAGTTGCAGCCGATGTTGGTGTTGGAGCCCTTGGGGCGGTGGCTGACTGGGCACTCCCGACAGGTCCAGGTCCTGTTTACGCTGCTCACATTTCATGGTCCCGCTGAATGTAGCCGGTGGGTAGGAGCAGCTGACGGGGCTGCGGGGCAGTCTGTGTTTGCCTGCAGGAGGCTGAAACTTGGCCAGGCCCCTCTGCTGTTCCCGAAGAGCCCCAGCATTGCAAAGCTAGGAGGGGTTCTAGAAGACCAGTGTGTCTAACCAACTCACTTTCAGATGGGATGTCTCAGACCCCAAGGGACTGTGAAATGCCTAAAGCACCTTGCTGTTTAGCTACAGAGCCAGCCAAGGGCCCGGAATCGGTATTTGTTACTTGTCCTAATGACAGCCTTTAATGGTCCCATGTGTCTCCCAGCTCACTGGACCCTTTGGCTCCAGTGCCTACTCCTTGGAGGTTCCAAGGAGCAGCTTGTGGGGCAGGACCTGTTTGTTTGCAGGGGATGAGAAGCTGCTTCAGTCAAGTAAGGGAATGCTCTTCTCCTGCCTCCTACAGCACAGCAACCCTGGGATCAGATGGTCTCAGGGTCTCGCTGATGAGGGCTCGGTGAGTAGGGGAGTAATAAGGAGGAGCTGGGGAAGGCGTGTCGTGACCTCTGGCCCAGGACTCTGCCTAGACCCCGCTGAGGCTTTGTCGTCCGTGAAAATCAGGAATGTTGACCTTTTTTGGAGTGTATGTGTGGGGGGATGTAAAATACAGCCAGTATGGAGCCCTGGCCTCTTTGTGAGATCCCACCATGGGGTTGTGGGGTCGGGAAGATGTTAGGTATCGCATGGGAGTTGTGGCTGTGTCTCGTTGTCAAGTGGCCTGGGTTCTGATCTCTGCCTGTTTCCTTATTGATGAAGTGGGTTTGCTTCTAGAACGTGCTTCATAAGGCTGTTTGGAGGGCTTAACGACACCATTTTTGCTGCGTTTGATCAAATGTCTGGTGTGAGGGGGCATGTATCCCTGGAAGGGCTCTTGAACTTTGTGTTTTTTTCCACCTGTAAAATGGGGGATGACCCCATCAGCCCCATGAAACCAGGAACTCCTTGGTTCCTTTGATACAGCAGAGCCCTGACCTTTGCCCCATGGTCAGCAGTAGAGACAAAATTGTCACGTGCAGGAGAAGGGCTAGACCCTGGGGCCCTGGCCCATCTCTTTAGGCGTTTCCCTTCTGACCTGCTGGCCAGTCACACTGAAACCCCAAGCTGCCTCTAGGGGCGCTGTGTCCCCTTTAAGCTGTAGCCCTGCCAGGGAGGGCCTGCTCTCCACGAACACCTGAGAGTGGGCTGGAGTGGTTAATAGGGCTTGTCTGAGTGTTGGGGTACATGTGCCCTTCACCTTTCCCTGAAGGGGAATCCTTCAGGACAAAGGACCGAGCCCTCCCCATCTGCCTATGCCACCCGGTGATTGGGAACACAGGCTCTCGGCCTTGCCGGCTTCTCCAGTTTCCTAGCTGTGTGACCCTGAGCAGGTTCTTTAACCTCTCTGAGCCTTTGTTGGCCGATCTGGAAAACAGGAACAGCGGCAGCTTATAGTTCTGTGGGTTGTCGGGGGGCTCGATTGAAGTAACGTCTGCAAAGTCCTCTGGACAGTGGCTGGCCCCCACCGGGAGCTTTTGAATGATGGCACGTGCCATTGCTGGTCTGCTCAGTCCTCTGCCACTTGAGGTCTCCTGTCCACAGCCTGCATGTTGAGATCGGCTGAGCTTTACATGGACACTAACGCTCAGGTTGCACTTCTGGAGATTCAGGCCTAGGTGCTCTGTGATGTAGTCTGAGCATGGGTGGTGGGGTGTGTCTGCACGTTCTTTTTTTAATACTTTTTTTTAAAGTTTATTTTTGAGAGAGAGAGAGAGAGGGAGACGACCAAGGCAGGCACCGCACTGCCAGCCCAGGGCCTGATGTGGGGCTCAAACTGACGAAACTGAGATCATGACCTGAGCTGAAACCAAGGGTCAGACGCTTAACTGACGGAGCCACCCAGGTGCCCCATGTTTTTAATAGCTTCCTAGGTGGTTCCAACATGCAGCACAGCCAGGCTGGAGAGTCATTACCCTCCTAACATCTGTCCCCTGCTCTTTCCCAGGGTGGCGCTGACACCACCTTCCCTCGGCACGTGGGTGCTCCCTCACCCTGCTGAGGCCTTGCCGTGTCCAGGCCCTGGAGAGTAAGATCTGGGGAGGGAGGCTTTGCTTTTCCCAGGGGTCGAAGCCAGGGAAGCCGCCTCTGTCAGCAGAGACTTGATTCTCTGTCCACACCCATGATTGAGCACCGGGGCACAATTCTTGCACCTGTAGAAAAACTGCGCCAGACAGAATGGGGCGGGGGTGTCCTTTTGTCTTTGTACGTGAACGTTGTGGGTGCTGACCAGATCTGGGTCAGTCCCAAGAGACTGTTTTCCAGGGAGGGTCTCCTTCGGATTTCTATGTGTTTGTGACATTGTGGGAGCAGAGAATTCTGGCAGTGGTGTCTCTGGAGTGGCGGGGAGGGCGCGGTGCTGACAGTGTTGTGTTCCTTACGGTGAGAATCCTCTCCTGTGGTGGACATCGTGTTCTCCACGACTGCAGAGGAAGACAGGGGTTTGTCCGTTTACCCAGGGCTCAGAGACCCGCGTGGCTTCAGGGGTCAGGCCAGTAAAACCTCCAGCTGGGGTGGGGCCCAGGGGGAAAGGACATGCTTTAAAAGATGTGTTTTTGCTGGGCCTCCCGCACAGCCCCGTGCAGGTGGGTAATCAGGTGGAATCCCACTGTCACAGCAGTAGGATGAAGTTAGTGGTGCCAGGTGAGTACCTCTGTGGAATGTCCCATCTCCTTCTGGACACTTGCTGATCCAGCTGTCAAGCAGCGAAGAGCAGAGAGGCCTTGCTTTCCATAGCTTCACGTTTCTGTGACACCATCCAATTAACACCTGTATTCTACTTGTCACTTTAAAACCAGACACTTGTACTGGTTTCTACTTGGTGTTTCTCACCGGGCCCTTTCTTTATAAAACACTTCAGCCCCTAGCACCGAAGGGGAAGAGCCCAAGCTCCAGGCAGGATGGTGAAGTAAACGGCGTGACTCTCCCTGCGGTAATCCCTTTAGGTGAGCAGCTGCCTTCTCCCCCTTCCGTCTCCACTGCCTGTCTTCGCCTCCAGAATCCATTTTTGAACTGGGTCTCTAGTGGTTTCTTGTTGGAAAACTACTCGGCAGTGAAGGATGAGGAAAATAAGGACGGTAAGAATTGACCAGGCCGGGTGGTGAGGGCCCAGGTATCTTCCACATGCATCTGAGCTCTTCTGTGAGGTGCGGCCGTTCTAAACAACTCCTGCCTTGCTGTGGAAGCCGGTTTGGCAGTTTTTCAAAAAGTGCAGTAGAATTCCCCTGTGACCCCACAATTCCACTCCTAGGTGTCTACCCCAAAGAGTTGAAAGTAGAGAATCAAGTTCATGTATGCAAATGTTCACGGTAGCTCTATGGACGATCCCCCAAAGGTAGAAACAACCCACTCGTCCATCGAAAGGTGAATGGGCAGACCGCATGTGGTTTATCCCTACAGTGCACTGGTGTGCGGCCGTACAAAGGAAGGGGTCCTGGACACCAGGATGAGCCTCGGAAACCTCCCAGGTGGCACAAACCAGTCTCAGAAGGTTATGTGGTGTAGGCTTACGCTTGGGGACTGACTAGGAGAGGAAATTCCGTAGGGCCAGAAGGGAGATGGGTGGTTGCTGGCTGGGGGGACTTAGGGGAGAAAGTGGACATTGAGAATTTGGGTCCAGAACACTGCAATAAAACAAATGCCAGCACCAGGTGGCTCAAAGGAATCTTTTGTTTTCCTAGTGGGTATGAAAGTTATCACTAGACTGGAGTCTGTCATGCGCAATAGCATTTCATTGAAAAAATAATGCACATACTGTAATTAAGCACTGATGGTTTTTAACATTTTTAATATATTCATTTTACTTTTGAAAGAGACAGAGCACGAGCAGGGAAGGGGCAGAGAGAGGGGGAGACACAGAATCTGAGGCAGGCTCCAGGCTCCAAGCTGTCAGCACAGAGCCCGACAAGGGGCTTGAACCCATGAACCACGAGACCATGACTTAAGCCAAAGTCAGATGCTTAACCAACTGAGCCCCCCGGGTGCCCCTGCCTTACAGAGTTCTTAAACTGTCATGTGCAGAGGGCAGCTCCTGGGGAACTTGGTAAATATGCTGCTTCTCAGGAGAGACGAGGGCTCCTTTCTTCAGGAGCTGTTGCCCTGGATCTAGGATGGTCCCCACATTTGCTCGTCTAGATACGTGACTCTAATGCACTTAGTGTGTCGACTGCAACCCACTGCTTCTTGAGAAGTCCGTACTCTGTTCAGAACTTTGACTTGATGCAGTAAGAAAATTAAACCTAGGAAAAAAGAAGCCCTGTGCTGGGCTTGTGTCCGATTTAAGAACCTCAACGCTGTAAAATACATTTTGGAGTGTGGGCACTTCTGGATTTCTTCTCCGGCAAATGGGTACACGGAACCCTTGACGTACAGCATAGTTTCTTTGCAGCAGCTGAAGTTCCCTGTCCTAAGACAGAGGCTGAGAGTTCTGAGCCAAAGCAGAGTATGTGCCTCCAGGATGCCAAGACAGCCCTGAAATGGGTTAGAGCCGAGACCGTGTAGCATATTTTGTACACCGTGTAGTAGCAATTGTTCCTGTTGTTATTACCGGGAGTGTAGTTCAAGACCATCTGCTTTGTCTGTGGGTCCTCTGTCAGCAGAAGGTTTTTATGAAAGCCTTGGGTATCGGCCTGCCCTGATCTAGGCTCTGTTGCTTATTCAAGCACCGTAGTTTACACTTTTCCCTCAGAAATGCTAGTGAGCACCTGCTCTGTGCCGGGCACTGTGAAGCAGCCCCGTTAAAAGCGGCTCTTTTGGGGGTACGTGGGTGGCTCAGTCGGTTAAGCCTCCCGACTTCCGCTCAGGTCATATCTCATAGTTCATGAGTTCAGGCTCACTGCTGTCAGCCCAGAGCCCGCTTGGGATCCTCTGTCCCTCTCTCTCTGCCCCTCCCCTGCCCATCCTGTCTTTCTGTCTCTCAAACTAATAAACTTAAAAACAGAAAGTTGCTCTTTCAAAGAGCTTTTACCTGATTTTCACGTGATACCTTCTATTAGTCAGGCAAAGTGGGACTCACTGTTCAACCCCAGCTAGTTGCTGACTCACGCTGAACTACTGAGTGTGTGCCCTTGTCAGGCTGTGGTAGTTTGGGGTTTCTTAACCAGTGTTGGATGACATGTGGTGCGTGGTGAGCTGGGGCAGGGGCAGGGACGGGTAAGAGAGGGAGAAAGTCCGTTCTGATCTACGATTGCCTTGG